TGCTCGCACACGGGCTTCTTCGTGGCTGCAGCAGCAGCCTTAGCGTTTCATGACTGTCTCTGGGGTCCGCGCTGTTAGCCGCGGCTCGTGCCCGTCTCTGGAGCTCCTTCAAGCAGCGCTCTGAACCCCCTCTCCTCGCGCACCAGGAAACAAAGAGGGAAGAAAAAGTCTCTTGCCTCTCTGGCAGCTCCAAACCTTTTCCCGGACTCCCTCCCGGCCGGCCGTGGCGCACTGGACCCCTTCAGGCTGTGTTCGCGCCGCCAACCCCAGTCCCCTCCCTGCGCTCCGACCGAAGCCCGAGCCTCAGCTCCCAGCCCTGCCCGCCCCGGCGGGTGAGCAGACAAGCCTCTCGGGCTGGTGAGCGCCGGTTGGCACCGATCCGCTGTGCGGGGACCTCCCCGCTTTGCCCTCGGCACCCCTGTGGCTGCGCTGTCCTTCGCAGCCCCGAAGCTACCCCCCTCCGCCCCCCACAGTCTCCGCACGCGAAGGGGCTCCTAGTGTGTGGACACCTTTCCTCCTTCACAGCTCCCTCCCACTGGTGCAGGTCCCGTCCCTATTCTTTTGTCTCTGTTTATTCTTTTTTTCTTTTGCCCTACCCAGGTACGTGGGGAGTTTCTTGTCTTTTGGGAGGTCTGAGGTCTTCTGCCAGCGTTCAGTAGGTGTTCTGTAGGAGTTGTTCCACGTGTAGATGTGTTTATGGTGTATCTGTGGGGAGGAAGGTGATCTCCGCGTCTTACTCTTCCGCCATCTTCCCCTCATCCTAAAGCCTGATCTTTGTTTTTGATGGATATATGATGATTCGTAAATTTTCATCTGGATTCCAGATTTTAAGCTGCTTAGAGTTAGGGACTCATTTGCATTTCTAACCCTGAAAGAAAGAAATTAAAATGGATAGAAAGCCCATTGTGATGTTTGCACAGACGTGTAAAGAGAAAGCTTCAAGTGACGTATCGTAATAGCAGTATGATTACTGGGTTGGAGTCATTGATGAGAGAGTGAATTTTAAAACGCTTCCCTTCTTCTGTCTGGCAGAGCCCACCAAGACTTAGCTCTGGGTCCCCCCCTTTTACTAGTCATGCTGGGAGATCCCCAGACAGGCTCAGAGCCAGAGTCAGCGCACGCTGGGCCGTAGGGCAGGGATACGTTCGCCTCTCCAGAGGTTTTCTCTACCCTGGAAGTGCACAGACGCTGCTGGAGCTGGAAGCCACCAGCGCCGGCAGCAGCGGTGGGGGTTTCTGTCGGGGTCATCTGGCTAAGGGCAGCCCCGTCGCATGCGGGTGCACGCGCGCACGCACACCCCTCCTGCCTGGCTGCAGCTCCTGAAGGCGCAGCAGCAGCAGCGGTCCGCAGCCTTCTTCTCCACTCAGGTGTTTGGAAACATCGCCCTGGACGACGACACCAGCATCAACCGGCACAACAACTTTCGGACGTTTCTGCAAGCCTTGATGCTGCTGTTCAGGTGCGTTGTGGGGAGGTGGGTCCAGGCTCACTGGCTTCTTCACTCAGGATGGGACCACCCCCCAGCCCTGGTCACACTGGCTTCTCCACAGTGGACCTTTCCAGTTTCTCCTCTTTTCCTGCTTGTTATTCCCTAAGGGCTCCTGGGCCTCACGACAGCCGAAGGGGAGGCCCTGAGGAGGTCAGCCTGAGAGCGCCAGGCCGGGCCCGCCTCCTCCGCCTTGTCTCTGCTCCCCGGCGGCAGCTGCAAGGCCTCCAGTGGGGCTGCAGCCCGAGAGGTCTGGGAGGACAGAAGGTGTCCAAAGGGCTTTTCTTGGTGTGCCAGCCCCAAGCTTCCCGTCTGCTCACTTTAGTGATTCCGGTGATCTGTGCCATCAGGAGAAGCAGGGCAGTGGAGAGCTGCTGTCAGCAGCTTGTATCCACTCAGTGGGCCAGGGCACCCAACCGGCCAGCGGTGCCGTTCTGATGGGAGCTGCAGTTCCTGAGGCTCGGGTGTGCAGCCAAGGGGAGCACCAGGGCGGGGCCTGGAGGAGCACAGGCTGGTGTCAGCTCAGAGGCCTCACTGCGCGGATGTGTGTGGGACGGCTCCCCAGCCATGGCTGTCAGGCGTGGACACCCGTGGGCTGGGACTGTCCATCTGCCTGGCTTGAGAATGCACTTGTGGGCGGAGGCCAGAGAGTGGAACGTGCCTCCCTCATTCCCCATGACCCTAGGAGGGGAGAAAAGAGCTCTTTGTAGTGACTTATGGTGGAGGGGTCCTGACAGCACACCCTGCCTTGGGCCCTTTCCTGAGGTTTCACCATCTGTGTTCAGTTACGTAAATGCATCGGGCGGGCTGCTGCCAGGCCCACTCTTGGGGACCCCCAGCACATCTGGCCCTATGCAGATGCGTTTTGGGCACCGTGGGAGTTCTTCTTTATATGGAGGGTGAGCTCAGATCAGGCCTGACAGAGTTTTTGACTTGTTCTTTGCAGCAGATGAAGCATCCTTAGGCTTCTTATACTTTCCCCAAATAGTGTCGTTTCTCTGGACTTTAGCTATTACATTAACTTTATTTCTTTGTTTATTAATAGCCTGCCTTGTGCCACAAAAGATATGACGTGAGCCTTGGTTTTAAGCCTTTGATCTCAAAGATCTCTCTTCCTTCCTCATCTTGGTGTCACACGTGGGCACCCTCGTCATTCAGGCCTGGCACGGGCTGAACCAGCTGTTGTCCGTAGGGAGTGGGCCCAGCTTCTGCCCAGGGCTGACCACATAGGGGCACAGGGGGTACCCAGGCCTCTGGCCCACCTGCAGGTCTGGTGCACATCTGGTGCGGGCCTCACGCGCAGAAGCAAAAGTCCACGCAGGAGGGGCCTCTGTAGTAGCTGCTCAGAGTGGGGGTGCTCTTGATGTGTTCGAGAAGCAGTAGAAGCTGGGGAGGCTGGTGTGGGGTGAGGTCAGGGAAAGGGCAGGCTGTAGGTAGTCATGTGGATTTTAACTTTTGCAGGGAGTGAGGGGGTCATTGAGGGGTCATTGATCTTATCCCTGGGCTGCTGGTGGGGAGCGAGCATCCAGTTAAGAAGCTGTTGCAGCAGCTCAGGGAGGTGGGGGTAGTACGTGCCTGGCTGGTTTGAAGGCCGATGAGCTGGTGGTCAAGAGACGGTGAGAGAGGAGGCGAGGGTGGCTCTGCGTGTGTGGCCTGAGCAGAGGGAAGGGTGGAGTCCCTGTGTCCTGAATCCAGGAAGACTGGGCGGCTGTGTGCCGGGAGGAGATGGGAGCCCACGGGGAGACTCTGCCGTGGTGCTGGCCTCTGGCGCGGTGGATTCTTCCCCGTAGCTAGTGCTTGCCCAGTTATGATCAGCCTGAAAAGCTAATGCCAGCGGCTTCTTTTTTTTTTTTTTAATGGTAATATTGTATATTTATTTAAATTTAATACAGTCAACTGATAACTTTATAAATTGATACAGTCAAAAATTGTACACCATTAATTTTTTTTTTTTTTTATGTGGCGAGTTCCTTCTGGTCTGGTTCTATAGATTTGCTTTTTTTTTTTTTAACAATTTTTATCGGGGTATAATTGCTTTACAATGGTGTGTTAGTTTCTGCTTTACAACAAAGTGAATCAGCTGTACATATACATATGTTCCCATGGGAGGGAGACGAACAGCGGCTTCTTTTTAAGAAGGAACATCTGATACCCAGACCTCACACATGTGCGGGATCCCTGTGGGAAGGAACCCAGCTCTCCTGAATTCCCAGGTTCCCTCCCAGGGCCGGTCCTGGGCCTTCCTTCCTGGGCCTCATGCTCTGCCCTCTTCTCAGGAGTGCCACTGGGGAGGCCTGGCACGAGATCATGCTGTCCTGCCTCGGCAGCCGGGCCTGCGACGCGCTCGCCAATGCCGCCGAGTGTGGGAGTGACTTCGCCTACTTCTATTTTGTGTCCTTCATCTTCCTCTGCTCCTTCCTGGTGAGTCCCGGACGCTGTGCCCATCCCGTTGCCTGCATCAGCTGGTCTCAGACCGCCTTGGGCCCCCCTAGTCTCTTGCTGGTCCCTGATTTAGATCCATGTCACATGAAAGTTGATTCCATGTCGAAGGTCCTCGTTTCCCGAAAGGACCCACTGGGTAATGAGCTCCTGTGGGCCTGCCTTTACTTCTGTGGAAGGGGTCTTAAGTTTCTGTAGGGCAATTGTCCCTCAGTTCTCAGCTTCTAAAAGGACTTGCACCGTGGTGATAAGATACAAAGCAGCAGAATTCCAGCCAGCCTGCCTGTGGCCCATGAGCTACGGAAACTCGTGGGGTCAGGTTGGAGGTGTCAGCGGGCCAGGTCCCAGGGTGTGGATTTTATTACAAGTCAGCAGAAGGCTCTGGGACACTGTGAGCAGTGGCATCCTCTGCTTGACATCTTAAAACCTCACTCTGGCTTCTGGCTTCAGGTCAGGAGACGCTGTAAGTGAGCAGGAGATAATTGGAGGTGACGGTTGGAGAGGGTGAGTGTGAAAGAAGTTGTGTGGACTTGGGCTGCATCGTAAAGGTAGAGCCGACACAACTGATGATTGAACATGAGCATGAGAGTAAAGGAGGGAAAAAGGCTGCCTTCTGGGGTTTGCTGGGGTGATGGAGTGGGTGGTTCTTGCCCCGAGATGGAAAGGTTGGGGAGCCGTGGGCGTGGGGATGAGGAGGGGGGTTAGAGACACGTGGGGGCCTCTGGGCTGGAGATGTGAATTCGTCGTCGTTAGTATTTGGTGTATCCATCAGGCTTTGTGATACCCTCTAGGTCCCTGTGTGGTCCAGAGACCCACGGCTTAAACATTGCCTGAGCACTGATTAGAAATGCAGATTCCTGGGTCCCTTCCAAGACTTGCTGTATCGGGATCTCTGGGAGGGGGACCCAGGAATCAGTTTTAGTAAGCTTCCCAGGTGATTCTGTGTGTGCTAAATTCGAGGAGCATTATTTGAGAAGAGGGCTGAAGACCCAGCCCTGGGGGCATTTAGGAGGCAGAGAGGAGCATGGGATCCAGAAGTTGATTCGGAGCAGTGAGGCAGGTGAGAGCCAGCAGAGGGCAGTCCCCTAAAAACCAAGGGAAGAATGTGTCCCTAGTGGGAGGGAATCATCAACCATGTGAAGTACTGTCAGGAGGTAAAGTAGAATGATGACTGAGAATTGTTCATGGGGCGTGGAAAGGGAGAGGCCATGGGCGCCCTTCACAGAAACAGTTTCTTTGGAGTGTTAGGGTCAAAGCCTTACTGCAGCAGGTTCAAGAGATAATAAGAAGCAAAGAGCATAGCAAGAGCGGACACAGCGCCTTTCCACAGTGGGCAGTGCTGAGCAGACACTTCAGATTTCCAGTCATAACTTTCATGCAGGACCAGCCAGCACAGTTTGTGCTTTTCTCGGGCCATATTCTCTACTTGGCACCATGGGTAGCAAAGTGCATTATTCAGATTTGGGATTTACCGGACAAGTGTAAGGAGGGAGAAAACGATGTGTGTAAAAGTATCATCTTAGTGCTGGATATGGGATCAGGCCTGGGGACAGGCGGGAGGGGAGGGGAAGGACCACTGGATCGGAGGTCCCCATGGGACACAAGTGTTAGATTAGTGAGCCAGAAGGATAGGAACTGTGGGCAGAGAGTGAGACATCTGTGGTTAAGACTTGGAGGTGGTAATGGTAATGTTCATCGGTAGTCACTGGTAATGAGTTGTTTTGCACAGTCATACGAGTAAGGGGCTGAGATGATGGCGGGAGGCTGGCGGGAGGTCAGGGATCAGAGAGGCCAGGCAATAGTTGACCCATGTCTGTGGATATTAACAGCAACAAGAGTTAAGAGTAGATGTGGGGACAAATACAGCAAGTCAGGTGCACATTTCCCAGGAAGCAGGGGGAGGTTGGTAGACCATGAACCTTAAACGGCAGGCTTTTTTCTTAAGAGGATCGAGGTGGATATCAGTGTTTCACCTAGAGCAATGGAAGGTGAAGAATGTTCAGGTAAGATGAAGATAAAAGAATTTCTATTGGTGGTGAACTGAGAGTTTTGGAAGGTACAGTGGAAGGTTGGGGTAGTTGGGAAAGATGTGCATTTGAGACAGATGAGCTTCCATATTGATAGAAAAATACAGAAAAATCTATGAAACTAGTCTTTCACTAGTTGCAAGAAACCAAGGAGAGGATTTGCATGTTGGGGTCATTCCCTGATACCTCAGAAGACCCACTGTGGGCAGTGGGGAAGGAAAGCTTTCTGGAGAGTCACCCGTCTTGTAGGTAGTGGGGACATTGGTCTCTATGAAGTTCAAAGACATCTGGTGCTGCAAGAGCCAGCCAATCCATGGGTGCAAGGTTGAGCCCACCAGGTTGCCTTCACTGTGCTCTGGCTGCAGAAATACGGTTCCATAGAAAGCCACATTCATGATGCCACACCATCCACAGGACCAACACTCCCTGGACATGTCAAGGGTGAGCCGAGGCATGACATTATTCTGTTGATTCCATTCATCCAGCAACTCCACTTCTGAGTATATATCCAAAAGAAATGAAAACAGGATATTGAAGCAATATCTACACTCCCATATTCCTTGCAGCATTATTCATAATAGCAAAGATAGGAAACAACCTGTGTCCATCAACAGATGAATGAATATAGAGGATGTGATACACACACACACACACACACACACACAATTGAATAGTGTTCAGCCATGAGAAGGAAATCCTACAATTTGTGACAACATGGATGGACCTTGAGGGCATTATGCTAAATGAAATAAGCCAGGCAGAGAAAGACAAATAGTGCATAGTATCACTTATATGTGGAATCTTTCTTTAAAGAAGTCAGAATCATAGAAACAGAGTAGAAAAGTTGTTGCCAGGGCCTGGGGATTGGGGAAATAAGGAGAGGTTGATAAAAGGGTACAAACTTCCAGCTATATAAACAAAGTCTGAGTATTTGATGTAAAACATGGTGAGTATAGTTTTTAAGACTGTGTTATATAATTGAAATTTGCTAAGAGAGTAGAACTTAAATGTTCTATCACTAAAAGATAAACATGTGAGGTGATAGATGTGTTAGTTAATAGATGGCGGGAGCCCTTTCACAATGTATATGTATATCACATCACCACAATGTACACTTTAAGAATCTGACAATTTTGTTAATTCCACCGTAATAAAGCCTGGGGGTGGGGGACAAAGTGGTGCTGGCATAAGGATAAATATATAGAGCAATGGAATAGGATTGAGAGTCCAGAAGTAAACCCAAACATCTATGGCCAATTGATTTTTGACAAGGATGCCAAGACCATTCAATATGGAAAGAACAGTTTCTCTAACAAATGGAGAGGAGCTAACTGGTTATCCACATGCAAAAAAATGAAGTTGGACCCTTACCTCACTCCATGTAAAAATATTAACTCAAAATTGATCAGAGGCCTAAGTGTGAGAACTAAAACTGTAAAACTTTTAGAAGAAAACATAGGGAACCAATCTTCATGACCTCAGATTTGGCAAAGGATTCTTAGATTTGACATCATAATCACAAGCAAGAAAAGAAAAAAATAGATAAATTGAACTACTCAAAATGTAATACTTTTGTGCATTAAAGGATATTATAAAAATATGAAAATACAATAGAAGGAATGGGAGAAAATATTTTATAAGGGGTTAATATGCAAAATATATAAAGAACTCCTACAACTCAACAACAGAAAGAGAAACAACCATATAAAAATGGACAAAGAATCAGAATAGTCATTTTTCCAAAGAAGATATTCAACTGGCTATCCAACAAGCACAAAAAGACATTCAACATCCTTGGTCATTAAGGAAATGCAAATAAAAACCACAATGAGATACCGTTTTGCACTCACGAGGATGGCTAGAATAATTTTTTTTTTTTAAACAGAAGATACCAGGTGTTGGTGAGGACATGGAGAAATAGGGACTTTTGTGCATTGCTGATGGAAATGTAAAAAACAATAGCTTCTGTGGAAAACAGTTTGGAAGTTCCTCAAAAACTTAATCATAAAATTACCATATGACCCAGAAATCCCATTCCTAGGTATGTACACAAGAGAAATGAAATTATATGTCTACACAGAAATTTGTCCATGAATATTTATAGCAGCATTAACCATTAACAGCCAAAGGTGGAAACAACCCAAATGTCCATCACTGGATGAATGGATAAACAAATTGTAGTACATGCCTACAAAGGAATATTATCCAGCCATAAGCAGGAAGGAAGTTCTGACAAATGCTGCAACATGGATGAACTTTGAAAACATCACACTAAGTGAAAGAAGCCAGACACAAAAGGTCATATGTTGTATGGATTTTTTTATTCGAAATATCCAAAATAGACAAATCTATAGGTACAGAAAGGAGATTGGTGGTTTCTAGGGATGGGAGGACGGAGGAACAGGGAGTGATTACTTAGGAGTGCAAGGTATTCTTTAGGAGTGATGAAAAAATTTTGAAACTAGGGAAGTGGTGGTTGCACAGTATTGTGCGCACACTAAATGCCACTGAACTGTAGGCTTAATTGTATGTTAAGTGAATTTCAACTCAGTTAAAACAAAACAAAACAAAATGCCTGAGCTGTAGTTCTCTAGAGCCCAAACTATTAAGTCCAAAGTTGCTGCTTTCCTTGAAGGCTAACCTGAGAAGGGGAGAGGGTGGGGACCACACCCTGGAGGCGAGCAACCTGGACGGTCGGACAGATCATGGACAGGAGGCGCTGGGCCTGAGTGAGGGTGGGGCGGAAGAAGAGAGAACAGAAGCCTCCAGAGGACAGATGCTGGGCTGAGGTTAGCCTGTGGGGCCCAGCAGCCGGGGAAGGATGCTGCTGGTGGTGGTGGCAGTGTAAAGGGGGCCTGGGAAGCCCTCTGCAAGGCTGTGGAGGGAGCAGGTTGGGCAGGCTCTGCCTGAGTCAGTGACGTCTGCTGCCCTGTCTGCCTCACACGGAGACTTCGGCCGCAGGCGGAGAGGTGGGGGAGGGGCAGGCGAGGTCTCTGGATGTCACCTCTCTTCCTTCCTGTCCTGCAGATGCTGAACCTCTTTGTGGCGGTGATCATGGACAATTTTGAGTACCTTACGCGGGACTCTTCCATCCTAGGGCCTCACCACCTGGACGAGTTCATCCGGGTCTGGGCTGAGTACGACCCGGCTGCGTGGTGAGTGAGCCCCATGCTGCGTGGTCCTCAGGGGTGGCCCCTGCCACCCACGGATCTCAGCACAGGGCTGCGTGGTGAGTGAGCCCCATGCTGCGTGGTCCTCAGGGGTGGCCCCTGCCACCCACGGATCTCAGCACAGGGCTGCGTGGTGAGTGAGCCCCATGCTGCGTGGTCCTCAGGGGTGGCCCCTGCCACCCACGGATCTCAGCACAGGGCTGCGTGGTGAGTGAGCCCCATGCTGCGTGGTCCTCAGGGGTGGCCCCTGCCACCCACGGATCTCAGCACAGGGCTGCGTGGTGAGTGAGCCCCATGCTGCGTGGTCCTCAGGGGTGGCCCCTGCCACCCACGGATCTCAGCACAGGGCTGCGTGGTGAGTGAGCCCCATGCTGCGTGGTCCTCAGGGGTGGCCCCTGCCACCCACGGATCTCAGCACAGGGCTGCGTGGTGAGTGAGCCCCATGCTGCGTGGTCCTCAGGGGTGGCCCCTGCCACCCACGGATCTCAGCACAGGGCTGCGTGGTGAGTGAGCCCCATGCTGCGTGGTCCTCAGGGGTGGCCCCTGCCACCCACGGATCTCAGCACAGGGCTGCGTGGTGAGTGAGCCCCATGCTGCGTGGTCCTCAGGGGTGGCCCCTGCCACCCACGGATCTCAGCACAGGGCTGCGTGGTGAGTGAGCCCCATGCTGCGTGGTCCTCAGGGGTGGCCCCTGCCACCCACGGATCTCAGCACAGGGCTGCGTGGTGAGTGAGCCCCATGCTGCGTGGTCCTCAGGGGTGGCCCCTGCCACCCACGGATCTCAGCACAGGGCTGCGTGGTGAGTGAGCCCCATGCTGCGTGGTCCTCAGGGGTGGCCCCTGCCACCCACGGATCTCAGCACAGGGCTGCGTGGTGAGTGAGCCCCATGCTGCGTGGTCCTCAGGGGTGGCCCCTGCCACCCACGGATCTCAGCACAGGGCTGGTGGCTGCAGACATGTTTCAAGTGAGTGTTTCCCCTTTGGGTTTTGGCTGGGGTAAGTTAGGGTTCCATCCTGCTCTCCATGGGGTACTGCTGAGCCCGCCTCCCAGGGGGTACGCTCCTTCCCACTCTCGCTGTCCTTGTACATACAGCTCCCTGGGCTGAGAAATCCTCAGACCCTCCGTCCAGCCCTTCGGAGGTTACCTGGGGGTCATGGAAGGTTTTCAGGGCGTTGTGAGACTCAGGGTTCCTACTGAACGGCAGCTCACCGTCTTCTCACATCTGGGGTCGTGGAGAGCGTGTGGAAACAGAGAAGGACCTTCTCTCAGGGCCTCACCGTTCTTGTGAAGCTCTGAGACCTCTGTGGGCATTAATAATGTGGGGCCTCAGGACATCCTCCTCTGTGGACTCAGGGCTCTCCCTCCCCGCCATGTCCTTGACGTCAGGAGCCAAGTGCACCTCTGTGTCACCAGCCCAGGCCGCGAATAGAGGGTTCTTGGTAAAGTTTTATTGAAACCAGATGAGCTGCCAGGAAGGGTCTAGTGTGATTGAGGCCCTTTGGTCTTGGTAAAAAAAGGTTACTGCGCTGCTGTTGCATAAGTGAGGGGCGATTTGCTTGCAGACGGAGCAGGGGTGTCCTGAAGGGAGTGGCTTGGGGTCAGGAGGCGGTGGAGATTGTTTCATGGGAGAGGCCTGCACACCTGTGACATTTCGTCCCTGGGGTCAGCACGGCAGCACGGATCCACCATCTGCCCATTTGTCTGTTCCTTCATCGCTCACTCACTCATTCCCTTGCTCATTCATTCATTCGCCCTCTCGATCCGTGGCTTGAGGAGTTACTAAGGGTGTACTCTCCGCAGCAAAACACAGGACGCAGAGGGCCCGAGAGATCTGGCCGTCGGTAAGGCTCAGGCCTGCTCAGCGCGTCACTCACAGTGAGCCCGGGGGTGAGCTGTGCCCCAGGGCGGGGGCTCCCCTGGAACCGGGGTGCGGCCGCTTCCCGCCTCCTCTCCCTCAGGCTCCCTGGCCTGCCCGCGTCCCTGTGGCGCAGCTCTGTGTTTGGTCACCCTTTGTGTGGCAGAGGCCTGGAGGAGAGGGTCGGCGTCCTCGTGGGAGGATCCTGCTGCCCACAGAGCACCTGGGACTCTGCATCCAAGTCAGCAAGGGGAGTACTCTGGAGCCGCCTGACCCTCCAGCCCCAAAGCCTGGGAGCTTGGCTGGGCTCCCGTACCCACCTCTTACGCGGTCTCCCCGGATCCCCCATCCCATCACGGTGAAGATCCAGGAGGCGTTCTGTGAGGCCCTTTCCGGTCTGGGCAGCGCCAGAGCGTCTCTGAGTGTGTCCCAGTGTGTAGTGAAAAGTAGTGAGAAATGGACAGTTTTCACACAGTGTAGAGCAAGCCTGGCTGGTATTTATGGCTCGTGTTGTATGTGATTCTCATGGTCTTAGAGAGTCCCATCATTTGTTGGATGCATCAGCACATTTGCCCACAGCACGTGCTTGAGTCCACAGGCTCAGGGGTGTTCCTGGGTTCTCTGGTCGGCCCAGTCAGACTGGAGGGGAGACTGACCACACCCAAGGCCTGGTCCTTGTCAGGCAGAGGGCGGGAGAGAGTCCAGTGAGGCAGGACTGAGGCTCATTCCAGGAGGGTCATCCTGACTGTGGTCTGAAGAGATGCTGCTGCTTCTGGGCGTATATTTTTCTAGAGGAGAAAAACAGATGTTGTATAGAGCATGCCTTGGACTAACAGGCAAAGGCAAGTCAGTGCAGGCCTGCGAGAGGGGGAGCATGTCTCCCAGATCTCTATGGACTGTAGACCCAGCACCTCCCCAGTCAGCCCCAGGTGGAGCAGAATTAAGACATACAAGAAGTGGACTTGGGTCAGACTGCAGCTTTGTGATTGTGCACAGAGATGGCTGACTGTTTCCCAAATCCAGGGTTCTAGAACTGGGGCCTCTGGGAGGCATAGGCATTCAGGAATATGGTGAAGTGCTTATGGAAGAGTAGATAGCAGAATGTAAGCCTCAGCCCAGAGCAAGATACCACGCAAGATAACACAAGACCCCTAGTCCGAAAGTCGCACAGGCATGACCTGCAACTGACACTCAGACTTGCTTCTCCCACGAGTGGCTGGGGCAGCGGGAGGCTCGGCTGAGGCAGCTGAGCAGGCTGGGTCTGTACCCCACGACTGGGCAGGGCAGAGCGTGCTTGAGCCTTCAACTAGCCTCTGTGACGGACGCAGGGCTGTGACCATCTTTATTTCCCAGGGACCATCTGCTGTCTCCTCATTCTTGAGGAGGCTGAAACAAAAACAAACTTTATGAAATTTCCTGAGCTTTTGTGTGTATGTGTATTAGTGAGTGTGCACAAGCATGTGCATGTGTGTGCTGTCTGTGCACAGGTCTGTGTACACCCGAGTGTGTGTGTGTTTATGTGCAAGCAGGCACATATGTGTGTGTGCATGTGTTTTTGCATGTGCAGCAGCACGTGTGATTGTGTGCATGTGTGCATGTGACTGCAGTGCATCTTTGCATGTGTGTGTGTATGTGTGTGTGAGAATGCAGGTGTGCTTGGGCATGTATGTGCACATGTGTGTGTACACATGCATGCCATGGGGGGATGAGGAAGGCGTGGAGTTGTTGCTTCCTGGCGCCGCCTTCCCCCACCCTCCCTTTTGCTGTTGCCTCAGCGCTTCGTGGTGAAGTGTGGAGACTCAGCAGGAGGGTCGCTACCTGCTACCGTGAGCGATCTGTCTGCTCACCCTCATGGTCACCCATCTGTCCAGTAAACGTCCCTGAGCCTGTGCCATGTGCTGGGGCCTGGGGCCCACAGGGAAGCAGGCGTGTGCTCTCAGCTCTGCTCGGCCCAGCCGGGCGTGGGGCAGAGGAGCTGCAGGCCAGGCGTGTCTGTGGAGGGAGAGCTTACCTCTGGCTGGTGGGTCAGTGGAGGTGGCAGCTGAGCTGAACTGAAGGAGCGGGGTGGACGGAGCTCGCTCTAGAGGAGGGTGGGGGCGGGGGCACGGGAAGGCGCTGGGTGCCTGGCTCGCGGGGAGGGCGCATCGCAGAGGGGCTGCAAGGGTGGCCAAACAGCTAGCCTTGACTTCGTTTTATAGACAGAGAGAACAGCTTTGGAACCAGCGTGACAGGATCAGGCCCCCACTTTTCCTCTGGTGGCGGCTGAGGGGTTTGATGGCAGAAGAGAGAAGATGGGCCGAGGAACAGGAGTGACGGTAGGGGCTGTGCCTCCCCCAGGCTTCCAGCCTCTTTGTGCTGGTCCCTTGGGTCCACAAGGTTAGCAAGCACCTTGCGTGAGGCCGGAATGGGGCTTCCTCTTCCCTCCCTCTTTCCCAGAAGTAAACGCAACACAGTTTGGAGTTGGTGAGACTGAGGGGGCCATCTTGCCGGAAAGGCAAGCGTCAGCGTGGGCTGGGGTGCCCACCCGGGGACAAGGGGGACCCTTAGCCAGACCCGCAGACCCCAGGGAAGGACACGGTGTGCTCAGAGAGGCAGGGATAGTCAGGAGAGCCAGGTGTGCAGAGAAGGCTCGGCCAAGGGGGCCCTGGGGGCTCAGGCACTCAGGGAGTGAGGGGAGGGGCGGCCAGACAGCCATGATCGAGGCCCAGGGGTGCTGTGTGCAGGGTGGACACACAGGGCCCGAGGCTGTTCTGTAGGGAACGTCTCCTGGCTGCAGTGGGCTCTGGAAACTGTCTGCGGGCCGCCGCACCTCCTGGGGCTCTCCGGTCCAGGCCCCAGCCGGGAGCCGCCTGTCCAGCCTGCCCCAGCTCCACCTCCAGACTGCGCAAGGCTGGGCGGGCGGACGGGCTCCTCGTGCCTCCGTTGCCATGACCTGTGACGTTTCCTTTCCAGTTGCCGGATTCATTATAAGGATATGTACAGTTTGTTGCGTTGTCTTGCGCCACCCGTTGGCTTAGGGAAGAACTGCCCTCGTAGGTTGGCCTGCCAGGTGTGCTACTCCAGAGCCTCCAACTGACATACTCTCCCCTGCCCGAAATGCAAACACAGCACACACTCCCTGCCTGGTTTGGGAATGATGACACCTCACCTCTCGCCCCTCCTGCCCTGTCCTGCCCGCACTCCAACCTCCGGGACACTTCGGTTCCCCATCTGACTCCCGACCCCTCCAGCTGGCTGGGGACAGGCAGCCTCGTGAGACAGTGCGCACAGAGCTTTCTGGCCGGGCCGTGAGGATGGGGACCGGGTCCCACCTGTGCCAAGGAAGCAGGCGTCTCACCCGGATTTGCCTCCGGGCTCTTGAAGGTGGACTGAAGGTCAGACAGTCCAGAGGCCAAGGGCCCCCGAGGAGGGGGGTGTGGGCGCAGGTAGACCAGGAGCAGCTGCCCCTCTGGTCAGGAGAGTCCAACAACCCAGGGCTTTCTGGTTCCGGGGCGGAGGACAGGGCAGAGGCAGTGGGGGCCCAAAGACAGGTCCTGCTTCACCTCTGGATGGAGCCACTCAGCTGAGCCCAGGAGCCCTGGGAGGAGGGCCAGACCCTGGGGTGGATCCACCTGCCAGGAGAAGGCTGTCCCCCTTCTCTCTTCGGTGGCCTGAACCCGCCTGTGTCTCTGGGAGCCCAAGCAGGTCCCGTAGGCAGCCATCCCAGGGGTGGAGGTGAGGCTTCAGGACTGGTGGCCCGTCTGCCTCGGAGGAGACACAGTCAACAACCCCTGGACACCTCCCTGAGCCTGGAGCCTTATTCCTTATGTTGGTCCCAGCCCTTCCTGGCATGCTGTCAGGAGGGTACAAGAGTGGCACCAAGCCACATCTCACCCCAGCTGCCCCCCCGTGCCCCCTCTGCAGTCTCCCGTTTCCCACCCAGCCTTGACCCAGCAGCAGCCCTGCCCCGGGCCGGCCTCAGGTGTCTCTGGGGCCGGAGCTGGCCTTGGCCCCGTGGACTTCGTCTCTAGAGCCTCGGGGCTCCCTGCAGAACAGCGTGGCTCTCGCTCTAGTTTTCTGGCCTGCTTTAGACTTTTCTCCACTTTTTAAGCCTCTCGGCTCACTTGGAAGCAAACTGAGCGTGACTGTGCTCACCAGGCAAGCTGATGTCTGTGCTGTGGATCTCCAGCCGGCCTTGCTGGTCACTTAACTCTACCAGCCGCCCTGGCATGTGGTGGAACAGCTCTTTTCCGATTTGGCATTACCCGTGGCTTCTGAAAGTGTAAAATCAGAGCTGACAACCCAAAGCCGCCCCGATGCAGCCTGTCATTCCCTCCATGTTCATTAGCTCAGATGTCCCCCTGCCCGCTCCCTGCGTGCGACCAGAGTGCGGAGGTGAGGCTGGGGGCAAGGAGGGGATCGAGCCCAGCAGAGAAATTCCTCATTTTACCTGTTTTGTCGTTTAATCCGACGCTGGTTAACTGGCTCTGTTTTCTTGTCTGCTTCCTCCCCCTTCCCTCCTGCTGCGCCCCTCCCGTGGACCCCACTCTGCCTCTGTCCTGTGGGCCGGGCCTCCAGTGGGCGCATCAGTTACAATGATATGTTTGAGATGCTGAAACACATGTCCCCGCCCCTGGGGCTGGGGAAGAAATGCCCTGCTCGAGTTGCATACAAGGTAGACCCCACGCCCACACCCCGCAGGCTGTCTGTGCTGCGGCCGGGCTCCCGTGTCTCTTCTGGGGCTTGTCCATCTGTTTGTCTGCTGCTGTGCTGTCTCACTGTTTCTTTCTCTTCTCTGCCCCGACCATCTCTGCTTCCTTCCCAAACAGAGGGAAGCAGGCACCACGAGCTGTCCCTGCACTGGCCCCTTGTCCCCCAGGGCTGCCTCTCTGAGAGCCCCCGGGGAGGCCCGGGGACACGGCGCTGGAGCCCACCAGCTGCCTCTTCTCTCCTTCCCTTCTCTTTCCCAGAAAGGAGGGGACAGACCAGCTTTTTTGACAGAGCCTGTTTTTGTTCTGAGCTCAGGACCACACTCTGCTCCTCTGTCCCCTAAGCCCCTGACGTGGGTGGAGTTGTCTAGCCCTGAGGGTCTGACCCTGGGGGAGCAGCGGCCTGCAAGGCCTCTGCAGGGTGCACCTGAGGAGCCCGCCCCCAGCCCCCAATGTGCAGAACTTCCCGGGCTGGGGAGGGAGCGTTGTCTCTAGGGCTTCGTGGGTTCATGGAGCCTTAAGAAGGAAGGGTGCTGGAGAGAGGCATCCTGCCTTCATTCCTGGGGCTCCAGAGGGCCCTGCGGGGTGAGAACAGCCTCTGGGGCCTGGGTGGTCCCATGTCCCTCCCACCCTGCTGCTGAGGGCCCAGCGGGCTGAGCTGCAAGGAGGGGGGTAAACTGAGGACACTGCCAGGCCTCCCTCCCGGGTGGGCGAGCAGGCCACATAGCCCCATCCCCAAGCCTGCTCCCACCTGCCTCTGCATCCTCCATCACCCCCTTGGTGAGTAAGCACCCCCCATCCCTCCAGCGCTCTGCCCTCTCAAGAGCCCTCAGTACTCCCGAGACCCAGCCAGCATGTGTCTGGGGCCTGACTGCTGTCTCCCTCTCTGAGCAGGCTTCCCACCAGAGCTTTCATCTTTCTGATTCTGTCCACGCTGTCTGTCTCTGTGCTCCAATTCTGGGCTTGCATCTCTTCCCTGGCTCAGCACAGCCTCTGGGAGCTAAGTGGCTCCTCCAGGCCATATTCAGACGCCTCTAGTGTCTTCCTTGGTCCTCCCCTGCCCGGCATGTGAGTCGAGCCTGCCTGGAGGCCCTGCATGAAAGGCTGTAGCTTTGTCCCCAAGAAGGAGAGCTGTGTCCACACTGACACCTGGGGCCAGGGTGGGCAGCCAGGGCCGTGACGGGGTAGCCTTTGGAGTTCCTCCCGGGTGTGCTGGCCAACTCCAGGTTCTGGCAGTGAAGAGACCAGGTGAGGCCTCGTGGTGGGTGGAGGTGGATGGGCTTGGTGAGCTGGGGAGGGTCAGGAGATGCACAGAGCGCCATGTCCCAGAGGGTCTAGGCCCAGGCAGAGACTCCTGTCTGTTTGCCCTGGTCTCACCCCTCTGCTGCTCCCTGAGATTCCTGGCTCTCCCGGGCCTGGGCAGGCAGAGGGGCTCTGGCAAAGGTGCCCGGATGGAGCTCTCCTCTCTTGGAAAACACCTGCTTGCCCCTCCTTCCCGCTGGCCCCTGACTCCCTGCCTCTCCCCTGGCGTGGGACCCCTCTGCCTCTCCCACTGCCTCGGTGCTGGTCTGCAGGGACATCGTGCTCTGGGAAGCCGTGTGTGTCACACAGGTGACCAGCAAGGTCCTAGGACCATGATTGGAGGTGCCAAGTGGGGCTTTGCCAGCATTAGGGGACGGAGTCTGAGCTCATGTCTCTAGCCACCTGCCCTCCATCAGGCTGAAGACTGGATTTGGTGCCAGGGTGCTGGGGGCAGGCCTGGGGGCAGAGTGGCCCTACCCAGAAAAGGGACAGAGAGGCTGCCCTGTCACAGGGTGCAGGCTTGGCAGAGGGCAGGCAGACCCCAGGGAGGGGCCCTGTGCCCCCACCTCTAGCTCCGATCCTGGATGCGAGAGGACAGGGAGCTCACGGTGCCCTGAGGGCTCTACTTGGCAGGCGAGGTGGCCCCCCGATGCTCAGGACGTTCCAGGCACACCTGAGACCCTTTTCCTCCTGGAGATCGCGTAAGTTCTCAGAGCCTCAGGGACACACCTGTCTCCAGCTGTTCTGTCCTGGAAAATGGAAGAGAGGAAAGGGGGCTGTTCACCTGATGGGGAAACAGGGAGCAAGCTTGCAGGGCTCCCAGTCTGGTGCGAGCACTTGTGCTCCTGTGGGATGGCCCTGGGTCCGCAGGCAGCTGGCTGAGCCCGAGGCCCTGCGCAGTCACATCTCTTTGGGTCCTTCTCCCTGGAAGGAGCTGCTCTCTAAGGCTTCCCTTGCTGCCTTGGGCTGGTGGCATCAAGCATCTGCTCCTGGCCCCCTAGCTGGGTGGTGAGAGGCAGAGGCCTTCCCGGGGCTGCGGGTCTCCTCACTGGGAACTGACCTCTGAGCCTGTGGTCTTGGTTGCCCCACCCCTCGTCCAATGCTCCTGTCTGTGGGCTGCCTCAGGGGTCCTGCAGCCAGCCCAGACCCCTCTTCAGCCTAGGCCACACACTTGTTCTGTCATGGGCAGTGGGCAAGGGCCCCTCTGGCTGAGACACGCCTGTGCTTTCAGAGAGATCCAGGCTTATGGCCTGGCCCCATTGTACAAGATGTCCCTGGACTTCTACTTTTCTGCAGCCAAGGGAACCCTCAGCTCAGATGAGGGTGGGGGTCCAGGGGTAGTGTGAATGCTGGCAAAACTCCCATCCATCCAACCTCTCGGTCCTGGGCACCTGCAGGGACCACCTCTGGGAGGCCAAGCCCAGCCTCCAGGGCCCTCGAGCACTGTGTAGCCCTGTGGCGGGGGCACCCTGGGAGGCCTGGCCCTGACCTGCCCCCTTGTCCCCAGCGCCTGGTTCGTATGAACATGCCCATCTCCAACGAGGACATGACCGTCCACTTCACGTCCACGCTGATGGCCCTCATCCGGACCGCACTGGAGATCAAGCTGGCTCCAGGTGAGCGAGCCAGGCTTGAGGGAGGTACAGAGCCAGGGCTGCGTGAGCGCCCCTGGGAGGCGCCCCAGGCAGCTGTGCAGGGGCGGGAGGAGGGGCCTGTCTGGACTGGATGGAGAGCGACTGCCCCTGGTACCTCTGTCAGACTGACCTTGTCCCCCGAAACCATCCTGCACGTTAGTGCTGCAGTGATCCCATTTTCACGTGAGGAAGCTGAGGTGGAGTGAAATGGAATGACTCCAGATTTCCCAGAGTTCTGCAGTGCTGGAGCCAGCGTCACATGAGCCAGTACCCCTCATGTGGTGAATAGTCTGCCCCTTCCCCATAGTGAGCCCAATTCCCCCATCAGGCCCTCTCTGGAGTCACTGGTAGAACGACACAGCCTGAGCCAAACCAAGGAGGAAATGAACCTCCCCTCCCCACCGCAAGTGATGACAGCTTCCCCTTCGCAGAGAAAATGAGCCACCAGAGGGGCCCTCTCCCCACATGGCCTTCCTCCCTGCATCCGTGCCCTTGAGCTCCGCCCTCTCTTGTGTAGCAGATGAGCAGAGGCCAGTCCTCCCGCTTGCACACTCTGCCCTGTTTTCATCATCTACCCAAGGATGTCATGACAGAAATTCTGTATTCTATTTCTTGCCCTGTCAGCTTTCTCTCTCTGCTGGATTATTTCTATCAATGTGTAAATGTGCTGTTATTTTTCCTATTTTTCAAAAGATTTTCTCTTCCCCCTCCATCGACTTCTCTCTTTTTCTTCTCTCCTTCTTAGCAACAGGAGACACAGGTCTGCATTGTCTCTGATTTCTCCCTTCCTAGTCTGCAGTCCATCTTTCACAGTGCAAAGCTTTGCTGGAACTGCTCTTGTCAAGCTCCGCAGGGACCTCCCCTTCTCAGCCCTTGCCTTACGGACCTGTCCACAGCCTTTCCGCAATTGTCACTCCCTTCTGTGTGAAACCCCTTTGTGTCTTTTTCTGGCTTCTCCCAACCTCTGAAGGTCACTGTGTGCCTCAGGCATACATTCTCACCTTTTCCCATGGCTTCCAATGTTGTGAATTCCAATTTTGTATTTTTAGTCCAGGTCTGCTCCTACACCCCAGGCTTATATACCCCACAAATTATTCACCGTCTGTACCTGGAGGCCCAGTGAGCATCCAGAGTTCATGTGCTGACCCTTGCGCTCCAGATACTACCCAGATTCCTCCCCGGCTCCATCAGTGGAAACTGCTGTTAGAGTTGCTCAAGCCAAAACGTTTGCAGTCATTTTTATGTCCTACTTTCTTTTCTTACCCTACTTCTGATCCATATCTGAACCCTTATAATATCTTCTGACTCCACCTTCAAGATACACTCAGAATATGATCGCTTGTCCAAACTTTCCTGCTGCCACCTCCTGGTCCAAGTCACTTCTGTTCTTCTTGACTGGATTGTTGCAGTAACCTTCTAACTGGTGTGCTTCTGCCCTTGCCTCTTTCAGTCTACCTTCAACACAACAGCCAGAATGGTCATGTTAGAAATCAAACCAGTAAAATTATCAAACCTCTAGCTAGTTTGATCACGAAAAATAGATAAAAATAACCAATATAAGGAACGAAAGAGGGAATATCACTGTAGATCCTGCTGACATTAAATGGACAACAAGGAAATTTTGTAAACAACTTTATGTCAATAACTTCAGTAACTTAGATGAAATGGAAAAATTCCTTGACACAAGCTATGAGGCTCATTCAAAAATAGATAACCTGGGAAAAAAAAGGAACTAGATAACCTTAGTAATACTGTATATATTAAATAAATTAAATTCATAGTTAAAAATCTTCCAACAAAGAAAATCATGGTCCCAATTTGTTTCATTGATGAAGTCAACCAGACGTTTAAGGAGGAAATAATTCTATACAAAGTCCTCTAGACAGTAGAAAAAGAGAGGGTATTACCCAATTTATTTTACGAGGCCAGCATTACTCTGGTACCAAAACTAGACAGAGACATTACAAGCAAAAAAAATTACAGACCAACATTCCTCAAGAATACGAACAATAAAATTTTCAACACAACTTTAGCAAACTGAACATGGTGATTAAAGTAGGGTTTATCCCGGGAATGAAAAATGCAAGATGGGTTCAAGTTTAAAAATCAATCAATATAACTTAATATATCAAGGAGGAAAAAACCATATGATTATCTCAATAGATGCAGAAAAAGCTTTGACAAAATTCAACATCCACTTATGATACATAAATTCTACATAAACTAGATATTAAAGCAAACTTCCTCAATCTGATCAAGGATATCTATGATAAACCTACAGCTACTGACATGCTTAACAGAGAAAGCCTGGCTCCTTTCCCCCTAAGATCAGTAACAAGGCAGGGATGTCTCCTGTCACCATTTTTGTTCAATATCATACTTGAGGTTCTAGCCATTGTCACAAGTCAAGAAAAAGAAATAAGAGGTGTACCAATTGGAAATAAACAAATAAAATTGTCCCTATTCATGATTGACATGATTATCTGTACAGAGAATCTTAAAGAATCAAATAAAAAGTTAATAAAACCAAAGCATCTACAAGCCTAGGAATACCAAGGATTGCTGGGAACCACCAGAAGCTAGGAAGAGACAAGAAGCGTTCTTCATTAGAGCCTTTCAAGGCATCACAGCCTTGTCGATACCTTGACTTTGAGCTTCTGGCCTCCAGAACTGGGACAATATGTTTCTGTTGTTTAAAGCTGTAAGAAGAAGTTACTAAAGCTAATACCTGAGTATAGCAAAAAGGTTAGTATATGAAAAGCAAATGCATCCCTATAGATGAGCAATTAACAACTGAAATTGAAAAAGTTCCGTTAAAATTGCACCAAAAACAGCAAATAACTGGCTAACTCTAAAAATATACGTGCTAGAGTGTATGCTGCAAGTTTCAGAATATTGACCAAAGGAATCTTCTTTAATAAATAAGCCAAGCACAGCATCGTGTTCATGGGGAGACTCAGAGTTGTCAGTTCTCATATTGGTCGATAGGCTCAGTGTTGTGCCAGGCAAAACCCCAACAGGCTTTCTGGGTTGGAATTTATAAACTGATTCTAAAATATACGTAGACAAGCACACAAACTTGAGTAGCAAAAACAATTTTGCAAAAAGAATAAAGTATTTTAGCCATTTAAAGAATGACAATAGTAAGTACTGATGAGAATGCAGAAAACTCGAGTTCTCGTGTGCCTAGTGTTGGATACAGTGGTACCGCCGCTTTGGAAAACAGCTTCACCGATCTTGATCGTGTGGCCCAGGCATCCCACTCCTAAGGGAGATGACATGAAGGTATACACGCACACAAAAACCTATACGCTAAAGTTTGTGGCTTTATTCATAATCGCGCCAAACTGTAAACAACTCAACCATCAGCCAAACGGTGACAGATAATCAAACTGGTGTGTCTGTGCGATGAGACGGTTCTCACTCAGCAACAGAGAAACAGGCTGCCGATGTGCTTGGCATGGGTGGGGCTCAGATGCCTCGTGCCGGGTGAAAAGTCAGACTCGACAGCATGTTGTGTGAAGCCTTTTGTATGACATTCTGAGAAGTTGAAACAGTTGAGACAGAAAACGCATCGCTGATGCCAGGGCCCTGGGAGAGGGCGAAGGGGTGGGCCACAAAGGGTACGGAGGGAGCTTGGCAGGGGTGCCGAGCTCCTGCCTGGATTGTGATGGTGGGTCCACGGTCATATGCATTTACCGAAGTTCACAGAGTGGGAGAACTAACAAGGTGAATGTTTATGTACGTAAATCACACTTTAATAAACACGATGTTTAAAAAAAGATGGATCAGAGTACTTTATTGCTCTGCTTGGACCCTCTGCTGCTTCCTGTCTCAGCGGCCCCCACCTGCACGTCCTCTCCCTCTGCTCCAGCCTCGCCCTCCTGGCTCCCTGGCCCCCTTCAGGGTCCCGTGAGCCCTTTTCTGGCCGTTCTGTCCAAACTGCAGCCCCTCCCGATAGTTCCTGTCCCTCCCCTCTTGGTTTTTCCTGTATCCAACAGACTGGATTTTTAACTTACTGCTACGTTATTGTAGATTAAAATCATGCAACTCCACAAGGGCAGTTTCCTTTGGTTTTGTTCCATCACGTAGAACAACACCTGGTGTTCGGTGGGCGCTCAGTAACTTTTATGGAATGATTGACCAATGGCTGGAACACTGCGGTGTCCCTTCCCAATCCCATCGCCACCGATGCCTACACGCCCTGGCACCCTCGCCACTGGGCGGCTCAGCTCCCACACCTCTTTAGACAGGTTCTGGCGGGGAGCGCTTTGACCAGCCTCCACGGCAGTGTTTCTTCCCCGTGCACCTTTCCTCCAGCATGGGGTCTCTCCCCGCCCACCCCAGCTCTGCCTGTTCCTCCAAGGGGTCTGTGGGATGGCTCCTAACATCTCTCCTCCCTTCCCACCCTTATCCTGCCCCAGCTGGCACAAAGCAGCATCAGTGTGACGCAGAGTTGAGGAAGGAGATTTCCTCTGTGTGGGCCAATCTGCCCCAGAAGACCCTGGATTTACTGGTGCCACCCCATAAACGTAAGTAGGGTGAGAAACTCCCCCTGCCCGCCCCTCTTCTGTCGCACCCAGAGGCAGAGCAGGGAGTCCTGGGTGAGGGCAATTGTTGAGTCACCTTGGAGAGGAGGGCTCACGTCCTTGATAGCCCAGAGCACTCATCTCCAAGGTGGGTGCCAGGGGCTGTGGGAGATGTCTGGGCCGTATTCCATTGGGCAGAGCCACCCACACTCCTAGTGTGGGGAATTCCTTTCCGAAAATCCAGAGAAAAGGTAGGGAGACGCCTACAGTTGGAGCTGGCAGAAGGATGAGGTGTCTGGGGTTAAGCTGAGCTGTGCTGTGTTGGGTGGAGCCCAGTGGGGACTGGGGAGGAGTCAGTGCAGCTCCAGGTGGGCCACAAGCCCCACGGTCCCCCCCGCGGGTCCAGGAGTCCTCGTGGTGGCTGCTGGCTCCTCACCCCAGCCCACCCTGCATGTCCCCTTTCTCTTGTATTCCCTCCCTTGCCTGCCGTGCTCTCCAGCCGATGAGATGACAGTGGGGAAAGTGTACGCAGCTCTGATGATATTCGACTTCTACAAACAGAACAAAACCACCAGAGACCAGATTCACCAAGCTCCCGGAGGCCTGTCCCAGGTACCAGGTTCCAGGAGTTCCAGGAAGTAACCCCGAGACTCTGCCACCTTCCACTGTTTGGCAGCAGAGGGGAACCAGCCCCTTCTTGAAGAAAGTGCAGTGGGGAAAAAAGGAAGATGAGAGGCGGTTCTTGCGGCCGCCTCTCTGGCCCACAGTTAGAAACCCCATATACCCTGTGCTTCCGTTAGTGGGAGGTGCACACAGGTGGGGCCCACAGAGGTTCAAACCTACTGCCCAGGGTCATGATGTGTCCCACTCATGCCTCTGGCTGGGATAGTTTGGAGGACTTTCTTCCAGAGGTCATCCTTCAAAGATGACGACTTCACCACACAGCCAAAACCTTGGGTGACCGTGTGTAGACTCTCGTCTATAAAGTTGTCCTGTGTCCAGCACTCAGGACATTCACCCCCAGGGTGCGAAGTGTCTGGTGCCCACACCCAAGCCCTGAAATCTCCTCTGAATTCTGCTCAGCCTGGGACTCTGGCAGCCTCTACCAGTCAATCCAAGTTGATGATGAGATGAAATCTTTTTGCCATTTGTAATCAGATCCAGTCCCCAAATTGTGTAGGAAGGGAAACTGAGGCTCCAAGAAATGAAATGACTGTTCCGAAGTCACTTACAGGCCAGACTGGGAATGGAATTCTGATGGGCGAAGGGCAGGCCCAGGGATCCCCATCCTGCCCTGGGGGTTCCGGACAGGTGGCCTAGCACCTCATTGCCCGGGGTCCACGGGGCGTCCCCGGCCTCAGAGACCCTCCTCCTGGCGCCCCTTCTGCAGATGGGCCCCGTGTCCCTGTTCCACCCTCTGAAGGCCACGCTGGAGCAGACGCAGCCGGCCGTGCTCCGCGGAGCCCGGGTTTTCCTTCGGCAGAAGAGCTCGGCCTCCCTCAGCAATGGCGGGGCAGTGTGAGTACCACCGGGGCAGGGCGTGGGGCCTTGGCGGGAGGAGGGCAGGGTTCCCCCCGGGGCTCCCGTGGGCAGTGCCCCAGGACAGGGAGCCCTCGGGTCTCACCGCCACCCAGCCACACCCACCTCCACCCAGATGCTTCGCGGTGGGTCCAGCTGGTCCAGTCTGCCGCTGGAGCTGGTTCTGTGGTGCGTCTGAGGCTAATTCCTGTAACAGTAGACAGGTGCTCTGATGGCACCGGGGTCACCTGATTTAGACAGTCTGCTATTCCAGACCACGCCTCCCACTGCGGGAGCCTGTTTCTCTCTCAGGTGAGGGCTCCCCTCTGCTTCCTCGCTGGCCTTTGGTGCCTGCAGACCATTAAGAAGGTATCTGTTTCCACCTCAGCTTCTCACTGCTTTTTGTTAACGGCCTGTTCGTGTTCTAATCTTCCTTTAAGACACTTTCCCTCTCAGATCTCCATTTTGATATTGATGTCTGTTTTGTAGACAAATTGGCAAGGTCTTTCCCT